GGTTTGGTAATAACCGGGTTGAGGAAAGAGAGAACAACTGGGTAAGGGTGAGGAACTTCTACGGGGAAGACGAAGAAGACCCATTCGAATGGCTCGAGGCATTCGAACGAGCCGCAAATGCCAACAATTGGATGGGTAAATGGAAAATTAGCATAGCATTCGGGTATCTAGCAGGAATCGTTGCGGATTGGTACTATGATAAGAAGGCCATACTTACCAATTGGGATAATCATGATGACCCTGATAGGAACTTTGTATCATCATTTCTCCAGTACTTCGTCACGCCCGAACAAAAACATCAATGACAGGTAGAACTAAACACGTTAACACAGAAAGACGGAGAATGGGTTGGGACGTATGCCTACAAGTTCAAAAGACTACTAAAGAAGGTTGACCCAGAGAATGCACTACCACAAGCATACGTAGTACGAATGTTCATCAGAGGACTGAAAGGAAAAACAGCATCCTTATTATCTGTGGTAGACCCGCACAACTTAGAAGAAGCCATCACAGGGGCCAAGAGAATCGAAGCTGGGGACCATTATGGGAGAACTATGACGGAAGGCGGTGTTGGAAACGCTCCACTAGAAACCACAGTAGGGAAGTTATTGCAAATCATCCAAGAATTGGTTGCTAAGTTCGCCACCTTAGAATCCGCACCTAGAAAAAGGAATGGAGTAAGTAATGAAGCCTGTTTTACCTGCGGAAAGAAGGGACACTACGCGAAAGACTGCCCAACAGCAAGGGAAAACATGAACTTCTGAAACAATAGGGACGAACAACCGTCTAGACAGACCGAAGCACGAAATCCTCAGATCCACAGAGACGAGCAACCGGCAACACAAACAGAAGCCTGTTTTGGAGAATTGATAAGTAACGAAGAAGAGGAGGAAGCATTTATAAGAGTAAATCGGTACCAGCCCTACAATACCTGAAACCGAAACAATACCAAACACGATCAAGAAGCCCCTAGGAATGAGAAAAATGAAGTCATCCAACCCAGGGTGGTAATAGAAACAACAGATGTAACACCAATGGACAAAGATCCGCCACCAGCAACGGATGGGAAACCAAGCAACACACCGCAAAAAGCTCCACGCAAAAAGAAAGAACTATCAAGGATTGAAATGGAATCAACGTATAATATAGTCGACGATCTATTGGCAGCACCTGCAAATGTTACCTTGGCACAGATGTTGCAGTACCAGGACCAGAAAAGGAATCTCGCGAAAGCTCTGAAACGACCGACCATACCAGAAGAAACAATGTTCACGGACGCGTACGAAAGAAGGACGACTGCTACGAAGTGTCGGATCTGAATCCGCGGTCAACCTGTCACAACCATAGTGGATACAGGAGCTGCTGTTAGCTTTATCACAAAGAAGATGATGGATAGGTTAGGACTAACGATTGAAGGAAAATCGACATCGGCTATCGTCACGATTACGGACACGCGATCCAGGGCATTGAGAAGAATCGAAAATATCAGCATCACCATTGGAGGTCGAGAAATCCCATGTCCATTCTTGGTACTAGAATCTACAGACGAAACTTTGCTGCTGGATAACGATTGGTTCGAAAGAGTCAAAGCTTGCATAGACTTTCACGAGAGAAAGATGTTCATACGTTACCAAGAGAAGGCAATGGAAATACTGATCTTCAACGGGGATGAAGAAGGACCAGAGGAAGAACCAGAGTATAATGAAGATGAGCTTCTAGACATACTACAATACGAAGATGAAGAAGTAGAAAGTACCGAAGAGTATAGTGCCAAAAGAGACGAAATGACATCAGGGGACGAGTCACACAGTCCCGCCGCGTACCTATCACAGGTGGAAGAACTACCAACGTCAACTGATGAACCGGAAGAAATCACAATCGAAGATAAGATTAATAGCATAGAGGTTAGCAACGAAGTGAAGAGCGAACAAAAAAGAAGAATACAAAATCTGCTATTGCAAGAGAAGAATTTGTTCGCACAAACCATAGAGGAATTAGGACGGACCAATCAAGTCTGCCACGAGATCATCACAGGAGACGCAACCCCGATAAAACAACCGGCATATCGTGCAGCCCCCAGTATAAGAGAGTTCATTAGAAAGGAAATAACTCACCTATTGGATCGAGGGTTGATCAGAGAATCACGAAGTCCATGGACTTCACCTGTCATCGTCGTGCCTAAAAAAGCGGGAAAACTAAGATTATGTGTCGATTACCGCAAACTAAATGCGGTCACGAAAAAGGATGCATACCTCTTGCCACGCATTGACGATTTATTGGAGGTCTTTGCGGAAGCAAGCTGGTTCACCATGTTGGATTTGATGAGTGGTTACTGGCAGGTATCCATTAGGGAAGCCGATAAGGAGAAAACGGCGTTCGTTACTCCCTTCGGAACCTACAAGTTCAACATAATGCCGTTCGGGCTGTGCAATGCCCCGGCTATGTTTCAGCGCCTAATGGACAAGGTCCTAGCACGATACGTAGGGAAAACTGTTGCTGTCTATTTGAACGACATCATCATCTTTTCAGCAATATTTGAGGACCACCTCGAACACGTACAAGAAGTCCTGCAAGAGATACGAACCGCGGGGTTAAAATTAAACTTGGATAAATGCGTCTATTTCCGTTCTAACATCCATTTTTTAGGGCATATAGTCGGAAAAGATGGGATCAGACCAGACAACTCAAAAATCGACAAGATTAAGCAGTTCCCGATCCCGGAAAACTTGAAGCAGTTACGAGGGTTCATCGGTCTGGCATCATACTACCGACGATTCATAAAGGGATTCGTGACTATCACTCAACCGTTACATCATCTGTTGAAAAAGAATGTTAAATTCAAGTGGGGAGAAGACCAAAACCGAGCTTTTGAAACCCTGAAATGGCACCTGGTGACTGCTCCGATCCTCCGCTACCCAGACTTTTCCAAGACCTTTTACGTCCACACTGACGCATCAGGATGGGGCCTAGGTGCAATCCTCGCACAGAAAGACAAAGAAGGGACAGAGTACGTCATCGCGTATGCTAGCCGAAGACTTACCAAACATGAAAGGAACTACTCGGCAACAGAGCTCGAGTGCCTGGCTATTTTGTGGGCAGTAGAATACTTCTACCACTACTATGGCCTAAATCCTTTCGTGGTAATTACGAACCATATGGCATTGCAGTGGCTCAGGACGTCGAAGCTGACCGGAAGGCGAGCAAGGTGGATACTACGCCTACAACCTTACAATTTCACTATTCAACATAGAAGCGGAAGGAAACATAATAACGCCAACGCGTTATCCCACCTCTAAAAATTACAAGGACCTGCGAAAAAAAAAAAAAAAAAATTTTAGTAGTCGAACAATCACCATAAGAAGAACTTACCAACCAAGAAGCGCCAAATCAACCCATCGTCCAAAGAAAATTTTAAAAATCCGAGGAACAGAATCCAGCCCAGGTTCCGGTGTCCTGGCATATACATAATGGACCCTGTATACTTTAATCAACTAAAAACCTACGTACAAACAAAGAAATTATCCACAAAACTGAGTCCAACTAAGAAAAGAAAACTACAAAAAGAAGGCGAGACGTATGAATCTAAGGAAGGCATTTTGTATAAAAGAGACTGGGAAAGAAAGAACCACTTGTTACATGTTGTGCAAAAACATGAACTGGATGCAATTTTATATCTCACTCACCAGCATCCAACGGGAGCGCATTTAAACAAAGATGTAATGCATGATAAACTCCGCGATACTTACTTCTGGCCACGCATGTACAAAGACCTTAGAGATTATGTCACTAGCTGCGAATCATGCCAAAAGAGGAGAAAAGCACGAATATCTAGTCCGTTGCATCCAATCCCTGCCTCAGCTCCATTCTATCATATAGGAATAGACTTTATCAGACTGTTACCACGAACACCTAGACTAAATCACTATATAATTGTGGTGATAGATTATTTAACTAAATGGCCCGAAGCTATGTCAACCAAAAAAGCTGATGCTGCCACGGTTGCCGATTTCTTATACCACAAAATCATATGCCGGCATGGTTGCCCACAATATATCCTATCAGATCGTGGCACACACTTTCGAAATCACACGCTAAAAAACCTAATGGATAAGTTTGACACTAAGTATCAGTTCACGACACCATACCACCCCCAAACTAACGGGTTGACAGAACGGTTCAATAAGACCTTATGCGAATCGATCGCAAAAATGGTAGAAAACATAACCGATTGGGATCTCCATATACCCTCGATTTTATTTGCTTACCGAACTGCTAAAAATTCTACCACGAAGATGACACCTTTCTACCTAACCTATGGATGTAATGCACGACTACCCCTGCACCCAGATAGAACCAAAGACTTGTTAGAAAATACACTACTAGAAAGAACATATGATCTTATAGAACACCTACCATGAGATCGACATATCGCAATATACAACATTCAATAGGCACAAGCACAACAAAAGAAATATCATGATATGCAACTACGAGCGTTTCCTAAGATCAACATTGGTGAAAAAGTTTTGATGTATCGGGCAGCTATGGAACACTCCAGGAGTAATAAGTTTGATTCAAAATGGACTGGCCCATATTACGTACACGACTGCCTGCCAAACGATGTGTATAAGCTACGAACCCTTGACGGTAAGGTGCTCGCGACTCCGATTAATATCTGACTTCTCAAGAAGTATCACGAGCGACTTACCTGACTGGATCTTAATGCGTGAGACGCATAAGATAAGCGTGGGGGGTTGTAAGAGGGAAAGAAAATAGAGGGTAATGCGATTTGGGTCACGTAATTAATGATCAACCCAGTATCGCGTCAAAGAAATAAAGCTTAGTAGTGACCTAAAAATATGAGTAATGATGATGTAATTAGTGGCTGACTTATGTAATTATTGAAAGAAAGTGTTAGAATTTCTTACCTTTTCTTGTCTTTTCGATTTCTTTCTATTTTGTTCTTGGGAAAAAGATATAAATTAGTGGATAAAATTTAATAAATGTAACAAGGTTCAAACTCACATTTTAATAAAGAAAACACTTACCTTGGCCAAATCTAACACCTCACCAAAAGCCCTATCGTTAAATAAATTTAACACCACTGTTCCACGAATTTTATTATCAGTTAGCGACTGACTCGCCGTACCATTCCCACAATACTAAGATATTTTATTAATGAAATAAGTAGTTGTGATCTTGACAGTTTTGTTCTAATGTTAAATCTATAAGGTTTAGAAATCAAAATCCCACTTGGCTCTTATTTTTTGAAACTAATTAATTCCTAAAAGAAAAGTTTTTAGATTCAATGACTTGAAACTTGATCAGAACAATTAAATTTTAAATACAAATTTAGGCTTTAGTAATTTGACCCAATGCATAGACTCTGTTTCTATTAACAGTAATCACAATAGTTTTGGATGATATATTTGGTTCCAATTCTAATTTATACATTAGTTTGTTCATAATGATATTGACAGCAGTTTCTGAATCAAGGATGGTGATCATAGGATTTTCTTTGATTCTAATATAGCATTTAGTTGATAAAGTTTTTTTTGAATTATTTTCTGATTAAAAATAATTGTTTTTAACTGTTTTCTTTAATCTCTTGAGAATTTTGACAAGATTCTTTTGTTGATTGGGATATTAGAGCATTTGTTTCACAGTAGCACTTGATTGTAACTTAAGAATATCTTTAAAATTGTTATATGGTATAAGCTTATTAACTATAAACAGTTGAAATTTTATTTTTGCTTCTTTGTTGTGAATACAGTAGGTTGCATTGAAGAAGGTTGATAATGACAAGTGGATCTTTTATTTTTATTAATTGAGTAGTATTTTTCTTTGATCACAGATTAAATTCTTTTGCTAATTCTAATTGTTTGACCTTTTCTTTTTATTCTTTTTGATTAGTAGTATAGAGTTGAGATTTGGTTTTCTATCCCACATATACAAGTTCTTTTTCTTTACTGAATGTTTTTTTATTAGAGGTATCTTTAATTGTAAGATAATTTACATGTCTGTCTTTCTTGACATATTTGTTTTGTTATTGATATTGTTAAGAGAGCATAGGTCTTTCAGATAAACAGTCATAAGCAATATGTCCTATTTGACTACACTTGAAACAAGTTCTTATATCTCTTTGTGATATATATACTAGTTGTGACTTGAAAGTATTAGACTTGTAGTATAACTTGTCTTTCTTTTAACTCTGGCAAAAATATCTTTAATTTGGACTACAAGCTTTAAATACATCTTTTTGAACTTTTGGACAAGATCATACATTGAATCTTGATGTGTTTCTTTGTTTTTAAATTCAAAGGTATTTTCTGGTTTGAATCTTGTAGGTTGTTTATAATTAATAAGATCTTGACCATTTTCATATTGTTGAGTAAATAATAATAATGCACTAACATTTGCAGGCACAATTATAGCTACAAGAAAAACAACTTCAAGTCTTAGTTCTCTAAAGAAATGACAAAGTTTCTGAAGGTCTGACATATTCTCTTTAAGGTTTACTCATTTAATAAGTTTCTTGAAATCTCTATAGTAAGAATCTATAGATTCAAAGGGCCTTGTTTTTTTCCTTCTAAGTTTTTAAGCTATTTGTTTTACCAATATTAAGTATAGAACTTTTTTTTGAATGCTTCTTTGAGATTTCCTAATCTGTAAGAATCTCTAGTATAATCAGTTCTATTGGTAGTGTTACTAAAATTTTTGATAGATACCATTATATATTATCAGCATTTATCAACATTTATGAGTTTTAGCTATATTTTCTATATAATATTTTTTTTTCTCCAAGAATTCTCAAAACACCTATATAGTTTTGAACAGTGTAGTAAATTTGAAGTGCCGTAGCTCAAAAATCAAGTTTTGAAGCTTTTTTGAGATTTTAAACAACTATTTGCAGCAAGACTAAAGAAATAACGTTTATTAAGACCTCAAGAGCAATTGTCTTACTGATAATTTGAGTAATTTTGCTTTTT